TATATATATATATTTTTTTTTTTTTTTTTTTGCTTATTTTCTGCTTTCTTTCTTTTAAATCTGAAATTTGATTCAGCTATTTGTTCATAAAGTAATTGTAACAACAGTGATGACTGATATCAGTGTTGGTGAACGGCTGTATATTGGTGCATCAGATGAGTTTGTGAAACGACTGTGATTGAAGCGGCAGACACATATTTGACACGACAGAACGACATGAACAAAAGATCCAATGCACACAGCTCATCAACACATGCACACGCTTCTCAACATTACAAACACACTGACATTATATGACATTATGAATATAAAATCATGTTAATAAAATGTCCCCATCTGTGTGATTCTTTTGGACCCCATTGACTTTGATTGTACTCTAAATATGTTTTATGTTCCACAGAACAAAGAAAGAAAGTCTTATTGGTTTGGAACGACATGAAGGTGAGTAAACAATGTTGAATTTGGGGTGAACTGTCCCTTTAAGGTGATGCAGGCGTTCTCTCAATGTTCTGAGTGCAACGTTAAAAGGCTGTGAAACACCTGACCATTAATGCTTTATTTTTTTCTTTTCTTTTCTAAATGTATAAATATTTATAAATTTGATTATACTTAAATTTAAGGCTGTTTTTAAGTTGTTGTTTTTATTATGATTATTATTAATACAAATATTAAACTAAATAAGAAACGTTACAGTAATAATATTTCACGTTTAATATTTTTAGTAATAATAATCATAATAAAACAACTTGCATAACTACTATAATATTTCACTGTAAAATATTAATATTTAAGAAAAATATAATAATAGTTTTATTGTACAGTGCAACTATAAAATTACGGTACTAATATTTGTCTGTCTTAAATTATTTTCAAACTTTCAACCAACAACATTTTATTTTGATGAATAACCACAGGAAACCCTAGCTGTAAAACTCCTGACCATTAATATTTATTTGATTTTGTTATTTTTTTATTCATAAATTTGATTATACTTTCAAATTTAAGGCAGTTTAAAGTAGTTTTATTATGATTATTATTAATAAAAATAGTAAACAAACCAACAAACATTACAGTACGAATATTTCTTAATATGATACATTTCTTTAGTAATAATAGTCATATCTCTACTGTAAAAATTAATATTTAAGAAAAATGTAATAACAGTTTTAAGTTGTTTTATTATAATTATTATTAATAAAAAAGAACACATTACAGTAGCAATATTTCTTATTATGATTAATAATTTTAGTAATAATAATCACATTACTACTGTGGAAAAACATACT